TTCCGTGCGCCGCGAAGAATTCGGCGGCGGTTGGTATGCGAATATTTCCTCCAATACCTTAAGAACTTTCACGACTTCCGACGGAAATTGCATGAGGGCGGTGTTCGTGACCCTCCTGTAGATCCGATCGACGAATATGCCCGCCCGGATGGCGTGAGCGACCGAGCGGAATTTCGGCTTCTCGTCGGCCTTCCGCCTGGTGGTGGCCAGCTGCCTGGTGAAAGTCGACGCCAACCATTCGCGCACTTCCGGCGGCACCGCGTCCGGCTGCACCTCCGACAGCTCGTCATCCTCGTCCGCCAATCGCCTGCGGGAGGAAATCGCGGAGCGCGACGTTAGATCGACGGCGACGGGTTGACGCGCTGACATATTCGACACGATCAGAGAAAAACGCCTACCTTCGTTACGCTTGATCGAGTATCGAACCGAGACGCTCGATGTCTCCGCGAAAAGCCGAACATCGCGGGTGTCTAACTTCGCTAAGAAAAAAAAAAAAAAAAAAAAAAAAATCGCGTTTTTGCACAAACGCTTCTTCTGCTTTACTAAAAAACAGCGTTCTTGCATTACCGAGATAATCAATCTATCGAACTAACCGACCAATTTTCCGATATACGAGATATACATACGTGAACGTGGTCATTTCGCGTCTCCCGTACGCGATTTATCGCCTACACCTACTAACCTCCATGTTCCACTTGCGTAAAACGTGTCGTAAAAATTTGTCGCGCGCCGGGGGCGACAATTACTTGTAATAATAACAATTTCTATGGGAGAGTGTCGTCTGTTTTCCATTTAACGCTAACAAATCTCGATTATCCGCGTAAAACTGGTTTTTTTATCGCTCGCGAATCAAAAAGAGATAAATCGCGCGGATAAATTGCGTTGATCGTATAAAGCGCTAATTAAGTAAAACAAAAGCACGATCACAATATAATACGCGCTCTGTATAAAAATGTGTATATAAACTCTGACCAGATAGCGCCTAAAGATATATGCGCTAAAAATAATATCAAAAAAAAAAATGCGTAGCATTATTTTTTCAAATAATACTCATTGCCAGATTGATACCGTGTTTGTAAATGCGCAGGCCCTAATCTACCTTGATGACTATAAGCGTTAAGATTGTGTTACTCTATTCTCTATATCCCGACTAAATTTCTTCTATTCAAAAACAAAATAAAAAAAAAACAAAATAATCTGAGCGTATATTTTAAAATATCAACAAATGAATCAATTTATAAAAAAGGTCGTGGCAATCACACCAGTTTAATCAAGTGCGTGTTGAGTGTGCGAATCGGACGGGAAGGTATCGTGTGTGTTGAAAAATGTGAACGAGAGAGAAACAGGATGAAAACACACGAGAGGGTATGTGTATTAAAAAAAAAAAAAACACATTAAAATTAAAAAAAACCGCTGCGGTCTCGCAAGAGCGGCACTTCTTGTGCGCGCGATTCTTGATCGAGTCCAAGTCTCGGTGCGCAAAATCGCAGCGGTAGTTTTTTTACATCTACGCTCGAGCGCGAAGCCGCGACGTTTCATTCGTGTTGTCGGCAACACGCGTTCTTTGCCGAATAATCTAACTTGTTCTTCAAGTGCCAAATAACAGCGACAATAATAGCGCAAACGCCTACTACCGGTCTCGCGGATGACGGTTTCGTTTGAAAGTGGCATTCCCGTCGTGTCCAGTGTGCAAGTGTCACACACACACACACACACACACACAGAAACGCAAGACATCCCGGATATCCAGGCTGTCAATGAGCAGGTGCGCAAGTAACTCTGACACGTCACTAACACAATACTAACACGCCGAGTGTGAAATAAGTAAAAAAAAAAAAAAAAAAAAAAAAAAAAAGAAGCGTGAAATGTATTCTCGTGTGAAGATTTCAATACGATCGGATTTTTATGAAATAATCGTCGAATCGTAGTTGAAACTTCAGCGGGAACACATTGTACAGATTTAAT